TCTATTTTCGGTAGAGATAGCGTCTTGCTTACTCAGGCTGGTCTTGAACTCCTGAGTACAAACGATCCACCTGCCTCAGCCTTTCAGAGAGTGGGCGATTTTTTTTTTTTTTTTTTTACAAAAATCTATTTTTGGCTTGGCGTCCAAAGCTCAGTGGTTAGGGCTTCAGCCACATACACTGGGGTTGGTGGGTTCAAACCCTGCCTGGGCCTGCTAAACAATGACAACAACAACAAAATAGTGGAGCATTGTGGCGGGCGCCTGTAGTCCCAGCTACTTGGGAGACTGAGGCAAGACAATCTCTTAAGCCCAAGAGATGGAGGTTACTGTGAGCTGTGACACCACTGCATTCTACCTAGGGAGATGCAGTGAGACTCTGTCTCAAAAAAAAAAAAAATTATCTTCCCTGACTTTGTAGAAAAAAAATATGAAAGCATGAGTAACATCATAAAATTATCTCTAAAAGACTGGAAATCCAAGAAATGCTAGCAAAACCTACTAAAATTAATCTTGTCAACTGGCTGGATCCAAGATTTATAAATAATCTTTATAGTAAAATCAGCTACAAAGGAACAAAGAAAAAATGTGTTTGTGTTCTTTGTGGTAAATGATAAAAATATGCTTTTTAGCAAATAAGTGGGAAGTACTGGAATTAATCATTTACCTGTCAAGTACACTGGACTCGTCAAATCTGGACTTTCTAGGCATTAATCCCCTTTTTTGAAAATCACAGTCCCAGAGTGTCAGCTCCCACATGCGCAGCATGCCTTCTTTGTCCTGCCTTGCATGCAACAAGTGGGTATGCATCCAAGTATTTAAAGGCAAAAGCTGGTCCATTCTTGTGGAATTTCTTATTCAAAGATCTATGCTCTCTTTTCCCTAACCTTGCTACTCACTTCAAAAGAATGGATTTAACTCCCCTCCCATTGAGTCTGGGCTGGTTTTAGTGAAGAATAGACTGGCATAGGTGACACCATGTGATTTCCTTACAATGGATTACTAAAGAACCATCTGCCTAGTTCTAGTGGAACCCTGGCTCTCTGAATGGTCCCTTTCAGAACCCAAGTACAACTAAACCCAGCTTTGGATCCACCTCAACCCAGGTACTAGCTATGAGAAAAAGAGACTGGAATGGGCCCAATGGCCTTGTACTTTCTAGTCCCAATGAGCTCTCCCACAGCCTAGAATATTCTTCTTGTCCCTGCCTGCTCCTACCTTCTTTATCTCCCAGCTCAACTCATCACCTCAGTTCCTGAAGCCATCACCAAAGCATTTGACTTACTGTAGGGGAAATTGACCCCTGCCTGATCTTTACCATAAAATTTGCTTCCTACTTGAGAGAATCATGAGACTAACAGGTGAGTTGTGTATGTGCAGGATATCAGAACACTGGCCTCCAAGAGAAAATGTCTATGTAAAGTGTGGCAGTAATAATCATGGTAAAGTTTTTCTAGATTCCAAAGGTCTCTTGATGCCAGAGACAGAGCTTGGCTCAAAGTCTCTGGTTTTGTAAAAACAAAGGTGGAGACATTGCATCTGACCATCAGAGCTTGGCTCAAAGTCTGTGGTTTTGTAAAAACAAAGGCAGAGACATTGTATCTGACCATCTTCATATCCTCCCTAATCAGTGCTAATGTTTGGCAAGTAGCTTTTTTTTTTTTGAGTGTCTCACTTTGTCACCCTTGGCAGAATGCCATGGTGTCACAGTTCACAGCAACCTCAAACTCTTGGGCTTAAGGGATTCTCTAGCCTCAGTCTCTCAAGTAGGTGGGACTATAGGCGCCCACCACAACACCCCACTATTTATTTATAGAGACAGAGTCTCACTTTATCGCCCTTGGTAGAGTACCATGGCGTCACACAGCTCACAGCAACCTCCAACTCCTAGGCTTAGGTAATTCTCTTCTCTTAGCCTCCCAAGTAGCTGAGACTACAGGCATCCGCAACAATGCTCACCTATTTTTTTGTTGCAGTTCGGCCAGAGACGGGTTTGAACCTGCCACCATCGGTATATGGGGCTGGCACCCTACCCACTGAGCCACAGGTGCCACCCAACGCCCCACTATTTTTTAGAGATGGGCTCTTACTCTGGCTCAGGCTGGTCTTGAACTTGTGAACTCAGCCAATCCGCCAGCCTCAGCCTCCCAATTGCTGGGATTACAGGTGAGCCACCGCACCGGTGACCAAGCAGCTCTTCTCTATTTCTTCCTGATAATACGGACTTGAGGTTTACTTGGGAGGGCCCCTCCCAGAGTTCCTCAGTCCCTCCAACAGACTGTGTCAAACCTCTTCATTCCTTGTGCCAAGACCCCCCTCATCTGATGACCCCAACCCCTTTAACTTACCCCTTCGAGGAATGAGAATCATGGCATAAAAGATTACCAAGTTCTGATCTCAAAGGTACTACTCTTTGATTCATTCTTGAGGGGTGATATCGTAGAGTTCTAAACAGAAGTGACTGTGATATGCCACTAATGCATCCCTGGGCAAGTTCTTCAATACAGATATTCTACTTTCTGAATCATTGAAACAGGGGCTATATATTAGGTGTTGAAGGTTTTTAAAACAATGTAGCTACGGGAGGGGAGGGGGTTAAAACAATGTAGCAGCCACAATCCCTATGCTCAGTGTGGGAAAAGTTACACCACTCATTTTCCAGGCATTTGGGCTCAAGAAGTCTACTTTGGTCATGTCACCAAAAGCTGTTGAGTTTTGTGGACAAAGGAGATGCCCTCAGCTTAGAAGGCATGACCCCAAGGACTCAAGGAGTTATGCAGAACAGCACTCAACATCTGTTGAATCTAAGTATTTTTTGTCCAGCTTTAAGAGGGTGTTTTCAAGTGTCACGCAGAATTCAATGTATGAGCAGCAGTGGAGGGATTGAATGGGCACGTGCTGTATAGGCTGTGTGCCTTGAAGAACTTTTATTATGGGCATCTTACCTTAATGCTGCCAATGTACTGTTGCTTAAGTTCCTGACTGGCACCTGGCCAGAGACATTACCTCCCTGGTGGGAAGTCTTAAGAAACACGAAAACAAAATAAATGTATATTCCCAGAAAGCAACACATACTTGCCTGGACTTTCTAGCCCTCTGAGTTCTTCAAGGATTCCCTTCTCTGTACTTAACTGTATCATAATACCCTAAAGAGTAGAATGAACTGGTCATCCCAACAAAGGTAGAACCTTAGGCCCAAGGTACTGCAGCTTTGCATAGAATTTGCTAAAAGTATCTGGCAATCTTCCTTTTAATGTTGCTTACTTTTTTTTTGAGACAGTCCCACTATGTCACCCTCAGTAGAGAGCTATGGCATCACAGCTCACAGCAACCTCCAACTCTTGGGCTTAAGTAATTCTCTTGTGTCAGCCTCCCAAGTATCTGGCACTTCAGGTGCCCATGACAACACCCAGCTACATTTTGTTGTAGTTATCATTGTTTAGCAGGCCCAGGCCAGGTTCAAACCCACCAGCCCCAGTGTATGTGGCTGGTGCCCTTATCACTGAGCTACAGGCACTAAGCCTGTTGCTTACTTTTTAAATTAAAAATTTGTATACAATTTTATTGTGTTTGAGAAGTTTTCTTATTTTAAATATGAAAAAATTATTGTAAGGATATTTAAGTATATGAAAGATTTTTTTTTAGAGGATCAAGCTGTCACCCTGGGTAGAGGGCTGTGGTGTCATAGTTCACAGCAACCTCCAACTTGGGCTCAAGCAAACCTCTTGCCTCAGTTTTTCTATTTTTAGTAGAGACAGGGTCTCATTTTCCTCAGGGTAGCCTCAAATCCGTGAGCTCAAACAGTCCACACACCTTGGCCTTCCAAAATGGTAGGGTTACAGGAGCGAGCCACCATGCCCGACCAAGGAAAGAGATTCTATACAGAAATATATAGCTTAACCACATTCTTTTTCAAGTCCTTGTCCACACACTCAAATATTTTACAGAGGATACAAAATTAGTGCAGAAATTATTAAGTACCTGTCTTTTTTTAATTCATAAGTATTTTTGGCCAGGTGGGGTAGCTCATGCCTGTAATCCTAGCACTCTGGGAGTCTGAGGTGGGTGAACTGCTTGAGCTCACGAGTTTGAGACCAGCCTGAGCAAGTGAGATGTCTCTATTAAAAAGGAAAAACTGACACAACAGGATCACATGAGCCGAACAGTTTGAGGTTGCTGAGCTATGATGCAGGGCACTCTACCAAGGGCGACAAAGTGAGACTCTGTCTCAAAAAAAAAAAAAAAATATATATATATATATATATTTTCAGATTTTACTAATATAACTTTTATTATTATTTTTTGAGACAGAGTCTCACTACATTGTCCTCAGTAGAGTGCCATGATGTTATAGCTCATAGCAGCCTCAACCTCCTGGGCTTAAGTGATTCTCTTGTCTCAGCCTCCCAAGTAGCTGGGACTACAGGCACCTGCCACAATGCCCAGCTTTTTATAAATTGTTGTTGCAGTTGTCATTCTTTAGCTGGCTGGGCCGTGTTCCAACCTGCCAGCCTGGGTGCATATGGCCGGTGTCCTAGCCACTGGTGCCACCTTTTTGTGGTTGTTATTGCAGTTGTCATTGCTGTCTAGCTGGCCCAGGCCAGGTTTGAACCCGCCTGCCTCAGTGTTATGTGGCTGGCTCCATACCCACTGAGCTACGGGCACCACCACTAACTTTTTTTTTTTTTTGAGACAGAGCCTCAAGCTGTCCCCCTGGGTAGAGTGCCGTGGCATTACAGCTCACAGCAACCTCCAAC